CTAGGCCACTCCAGAACCTTGATATGCTTCTTACGGAGCCACTCCTTGGTTATCCTGGCTGTGTGCTTCGGGTTGTTGTCATGTTGGAAGACCCAGCCACGACCCATCTTCAATGTTCTGACTGAGGGAAGGAGGTTGTTGCTCAAAATCTCACAATAAATGGCCCCATTCATCCTCTCCTTAATACAGTGCAGACGTCCTGTCCCCTTCACAGAAAAGCACCCCCAAAGCATAGCGTTACTACCTCCATGCTTCACAGTAGGGATGGTGTTCTTGGGATGCAACTCATCCTTCTTTTTCCTCACACGAGTGAAGTTTAGACCAAAAAGTTCTACTTTGGTCTCATCTGACCACATGACTTTCTCCCATGCCTCCTCTGGATCATCCAGATGGTCTTTGGCAAACTTCAGATGGGACTGGACATGTGATGACTTGAGCAGGGGAACCTTCCGTGCAATGCATGATTTGAAACCATGACGGCATAGTGTTCTACCGACAGTGACCTTTGAAACTGTGGTCCCAGCTCTCTTCATGTCATTGACCAGCTCCTCCCTTGTAGTTCTGGGCTGATTCCTCACCTTTCTTATCATCAGTGATACCCCACGAGGTGAGATCTTGCATGGCGCCCCAGTCCGAGGGAGACTGACAGTCGTCTTTAGCCTCTTCCATTTTCTAACTGTTAGATATTTTTAGTCAGATAGACATTGGTTCGGTACTTGTATGTATTAGAAATGTTTAGTGGAGTCAGGATGTCTAGGTAGGCTGTTAAATGCTTAGTCATGCTCATGAGTTTTTACAGGATGCAGATGGTCAAGGATAACTAGATAGAAAAATTGATGACTGTTAGAAGACAGGATGATTATTATTATTATTATGATGTGTATAACTGTAATCGTAATCATATTTTCTTATGTTTAATGTCATGACATGTCACTAGTGGTCATGTCAGAATGTTTTTAGATACACACCACTTAATCAACCGACACACACACACACACAAGAGCACCATGCACCCAAAAATTGCAGAATAAGTTGCTAACTTAAAGTGGGCTAGGATGAAGGTTATGCTATACAGGTTCACAGGCTAGGCAGCAAACCTAATGGACATTTAAGGGCAAGTATAGCATGTTGGAAATTTTTATTGTTGTTATGCACACCTCCAATGCAAGCCAGAAAGAGTAAAGAGTAAATGAACTTACTCCGATGATGTCTCTTGCGATTTTATTCAAAGAATAAGTACTATGCAAAGTATTTTAGCTGAGAGGACAGAGGTGTAAAACCCTCATGTAGAGCGATCACAGTCTAACAGAGAGCCCATTGTACACAGACACTATTTAAGTATCACATTCAAAGCCAGATGGGCAGTATCTCTCATGGGAGTACAAGGGAGACAAAGAAAGCCAGAGGCAGGGCGAGATAGCAAAATATGGACAACCAACCTCATCTAGCTTCAGAAGAGTAGTTTTCCCACATCTTCATTTTCCTGCAACGCATGCTCATTAGTATAAACATACACCAACCAGCCACTTTAGTAGTCATACCTTTACAATTGTATGCACTTCAACAGTTCTGCCTTAACATCTGTGTTTATGAAAGTGAAAATGTTTCAGTTTTTGGTGAAATTGTCATAAATGTATAATTTTAATTATATGTTTATATTTCAATTCATAGTGAAAGATGGTGTTGTACTGGCCTACATTATATTCAGTTTTTGTTATATAGCGCCAGGAGCTAATTCCTCAGTGGCTCTCAGCAAACTCCACGATGTCATCAGCGCCCATCCTGATGCTGTTTTTATCATCGCCGGCGACGTAACCAGTGCGGTCTATGGACTGTATTCTCCAAATACATGTGGACATTCCAACCTGGGAAAAGAATGCTCTGGACCGTGTTTACATCCGTGGTGCATACAGGGCCGCACCCTGCCCCCACCTTGGATGCTCGGACCACATTTCTTTGTTCCTGTATCCAGCTTACAGACAGAGACTGAAACAAACAAACCATGTCACCAAACAAATTAAACTCTGGACCCCAGAGACTGAGGGCACCCTGCAGGACTGTTTCGCCCAGACAGACTGGGATGTGTTTAAAGCTGCAGCCACCTCAGAGGACTTTTCTGTCAGCATACAGGATTATG